TTACACTCTCACATTTGTTTTGAAATTTTATAACATGTTTAAGTACAAACCAGCGCTTTCAGACAAATACTTTGTGCACTTTTTTCCAAAGACTTGTGTAAAATTAGCCGACTGCACTTTAAATAGGAAGATGCCCACAAAGACAAACCTGCATCAACATCAAGATGTTTCGTTTTCTATGAGTGATGCTGAGCAAAGCACCAGAGATGATGTTTTCAGTTCCTGTTCCCTGGATGCTTTGACTAGAAGCTGACATTTAGACATTTATGGGGAATCGTTTTTAATTTCTTCCTCTCGATCTTCTCTCAGGGTGTTCGAGGAAACGATGGACCCCACGGTTCCAAAGGAAGCTTGGTTAGTAACAGTTTCCATGTTATCATGTGTATTTGAACATTTAAGATCAGAACTCATAATGTTAACACAAAACTTTTCTTTTAGCTAGTTTCTGACAGATTCTCTCCTCCTCCTCTTTCCTTCACTTTGCCCTGTGCTCATCGTTATTCTCTCCTCTTCTGTTTCTGTCCCTCAGGGTCCCCAAGGTGAGCCAGGACCTCCAGGTCAGCAGGGAACCCCAGGAACTCAGGTGAGAGAGCACACCTGGTCATTATCATGTACCTGATACATGATAATGTATGGGAATAGCTATGCAGGAACATGCACACAAAGATAAAAAGAAAGATTAATGCTCAAATTGTAATAATTACATAAACTGATTAAAGGTCACACTGTGTTCTGGGTTTTTTTTGCAGGGAATGCCGGGACCTCAGGGGGCCATCGGACCCCCAGGAGAGAAAGTAAGACCTTAGATATTCATCATACTCTATTTAAAGTACAGTTACATAATGAAAGTTGGCTCTAAACAAGTATTTAACAATAAACAGTCATATAATAGTTGGAATATTATTAATTCATTACATTATTCAACTCTATTCTCCAACTCTGACATTTAAATACTGCAGTGACGACACCGAGCAAGTAAACAAAGGGAGTAGGATGTGCTGTTGTCAGGAAGAGATCTTTAAACACCTGTTACACCAGGAGTCTATTGGATGCTTAAGAATTATAGTAACCAATCAAATTCATACATCTCACAAAGGTGAAAATATGATGGTTATTGTCAGAGATGATGATCTTATGCTATTCCACTTAAAAATGAATCTTCTAAATTAAGTTTGATATCAAGTGCAGGGTTTACCTCATGCACACACAGTACAGCACACAGCTGCCTGCATGAAGACTGCAGTCACTCTCAACCCGACTACCACTTACAGCTCGGTGACCCACAGACACTGCAGCTGTGACAGTGACAGCATGAATATCTCTGAAACTAAAGTGAAATTATGCAGCCTTACCTCATTCACATCAACACTTTCCCCACCGAGCAGTGGTATCAGCACTCTGAGTCTTATAGAATAACACTCGTTCTCTGTATCAGTGCACTTTTCTGTCACTCACACTTCAACCATGCGAGTCTGTCGTACTCGTCAGCGACGAAGCAGAAAAGCGCGCTTCATTCAGATATGAGACGTTTCAAATAAGGAGCATTTATTGACCTTATATACGCTTCGTCTCCTTCTCCAGGGTCCCACAGGAAAACCAGGTCTCCCAGGAATGCCTGGAGCTGATGGGCCTCCTGTATGTTTGTCTTTCTTTATATTGTTTATTAAGTTGAACCACCTAAAGCTGGGTGATGTCGTTTCTAAGCCTTAATCTCTCTATTTTCATGTTACAGGGTCACCCAGGAAAGGAGGGGCCTCCTGGCACCAAGGGAAACCATGTGGGTGCCATAACTCCATCACTTTATATTACTTCATTCATATTACTATTATTATCCATCCTAACAGGAGACCTGTAACCTCTGTTAGGTTTGTCCTTGTGGTCGTAGTTACCACAGTGTGTGTGTTGTGCTGTAAACCTGCTTTCTTTGGTCTGCAGGGTCCTAACGGTCCTCAGGGAGCTATCGGCTATCCTGGTCCTCGGGGCGTCAAGGTCACTGCGCTTCATTTTTAATGTGTCGTAAAACAAATTAGCAAAGACATTTTTTAAATGTGATTTATTAGAATGCAAATGTATTGATTATGAAATTGTTGTGATCACAGGGAGAACAAGGCATCCGCGGCCTGAAAGGCCACAAAGGAGAGAAGGTAAATGAATAAATATCACATTTACACAATAACATCGTGTTAATGTGAACATTTGGTGATTAAAAAAGGAAAACGGAGATATCATGTGACTGCATTTTATAATTAAAAACAAGGTTTGTGTCATGAACATCTATTCACTGTGTTTTTATTTGTTTTTGTTGCCAGGGAGAAGACGGCTTCCCGGGAATTAAAGGAGATTTCGGTGTCAAGGGAGAGAGGGTAAAGTCTGAATAACGAAGCAGCTGATTGGTCAGTTGGCTGGTTCTTTAATGTAACACTAGATGGCTGAATGAAGGACTGGATGGTCCAGATTTTTAATCTAACCCATGTTAATATTTGCTCTGAGTTATTGCTTTGTGTACAGCACAGATTTAATCTCACAGCTGTGTTTCCACTCTGATCTCTTACAGGGAGAGATTGGAGTATCAGGGCCCAGAGGAGAGGACGGCCCGGAGGGGCCCAAGGGTCGTGTTGGACCCCCCGGTGAGGTTGGAGCTATTGGACTGATTGGTGAGAAGGTATGAACTGTTTCATTACAGCAAGACTGCATAAAAGTAATTATTTTTATCATTCAGACCATCATTTAATACTTTTATAAGGAACTTGTGTAAGAATTATATTTCACCTGTACCTGGGATCTGAAACAAGTATTTATTTGAATTTTTCTAAATATTTGAGGGTTTTTTATGTTTTATTGATGTGAATTTCTCCATTAATCCTGACATTTAACTTTATAACATGAACTTTATTACAAGATAATGTGACTGTTACACCTGTGCATCATGTTGAGTGCTTCTCAGCTTTCTCACCTACATGCCAGCATTAATCAGTCATAACTAGCTGGTTTGTAGTGAAGCAGGTTAGAAAACGCAGTCACACCTGCTGTGATTGATGACGTCATCGTTTGTTTCCAGGGTAAACTCGGTGTACCTGGAGTTCCTGGATATCCTGGAAGACAAGGACCAAAGGTAAGAGAAGCACAAGCCTTTCATTAGCACTGAATCAGTGGTTGATCCTGATGGAACAGCTGATCCTGACATGTTGGTTTATTTTTAGGGATCTCTTGGATTCCCAGGATTCCCTGGTTCAAACGGCGAGAAGGGAACAAGGGTAAGACGACGTCTCTGTGGAAGAACATCAAAACTCAGACATTTAAACTTAACAAGGATAAAATTTCTCAGGTTATAACAAAAGTTCTAATGTTAACTAAGGTTTAATGTTAACTGTCTGTCTGATTTTCTTCAGGGTACTTCCGGCAAACCAGGTCCGAGAGGACAGAGAGGCCCGACGGTACTTTTTCTGTTTATTATGCTGAGGGTTTAGAAGCTGCTCTGCTCACAGCGTTAAAGAATAACCTATCAGTGCATCACCCATCATCAGTGTAACCTCTGGTGATCAGCAGAAACACAGAGTTGTTTAATTATTCCTTCAAATGATTTGAGTATCGTAGTAATTTAACTATACGTGCTGTTTTTGACCATCAGGGCCCCCGAGGGCAGAGAGGGCCGAGGGGGGCCACGGGGAAACCAGGAGCAAAGGTTGGTCTGCACACCTGAAACAAACTGCCCACACTGTGATTTACTGATGAATCCTGTTTTCACTTCATATTTTACATGAATGTGTGAAAGAAATTACTCGTATCTCATCTTTATATAAATATTTGAACAAAAATGTCAGAGCTGGATTTTTTTAAACAAGACTTGCCTAAAAATCCTCGATAACATTTACATTTATTGCTTTTGATTTTTGCCTGTAAATAATTTAAATAAAGAAAAGAAGAGTTTGTATTTAAGTCATTCTTCTTCTATTGCTCCTGTCAGGGAACCTCAGGAAGTGATGGACCTCATGGTCCTCCTGGAGAGAGGGTGAGTGTTGAAGTTCACAGAAGTGTGTCCTGCTTGGAAAAACTTACTTTTAAATTTGAGTCGTGTATTTAATGTTCTTACTTTACCACATATGATTTCTCAGGGATTGCCAGGACCTCAGGGAGCCAATGGTTTCCCCGGACCAAAGGGACCTCCTGTAAGTAAACATTTTCATTTACGGTTCCTCACAGACTGATTTTAGCAATGTTACAAATTCAGGGTGATATCACTGATAAAAATAATAAAAAAACTGAGGTGCTTTGTACAGTTTGATAAAATTGGTTTATTGTTTTATTACAGGGACCACCAGGAAAGGATGGCCTGCCAGGACATCCCGGGCAGAGAGGAGAAGTTGTAAGTTAAATTTGTATTTTTTATTAATTCATTTATTTATTTTTCTTTCTTAGAGGTGCCTCCACCTGAGCTCACTGAGTGGAGCAGGTGGCCCATATGCCATAGATGTGGGTTTTAATCCAGACCACTGACTGCATGTCTTCCTCCCAGCTTTGCTGTCTTCTGTCTGTCTGAAGTATTTAAGTAGTGATCTGTGAAATTTAATGCACAGAGATGCTTGAATCTGTATTTATGGAGAAGAATTATTTGTGTTTTGTGTCAAATAAACAAAAAAAGTCATCACAGCATATTTTTCTTTCCAAGTTCATCTCAGTCGCAGACTGTGATGAGGGTTATGAGTGGACACGTCTTTGCCTTTCAGATCTGAGCGTCTGTGTTTTCTAGATAAACTGTTAACTGAGTTTGTGTCTTGCAGGGTTTCCAAGGTAAAATGGGTCCACCTGGGCCTCCTGGAGTTGTTGGACCTCAGGTGAGTTCATTCATTGTGGTGCACATACTGTTACTGTTACAGTAAATCACATCACGAGCCAACTTACACACTTCACTTCTCCATATTCACACCCTGCTGCTTTGCATTCTTCCTTCCATCATTGCTTTCTTCTTCTCTCAACACTGTCCATGTTCATCTTCCAGGGCCCATCAGGAGAGACCGGCCCCATGGGCGAGCGTGGCCATCCCGGACCTCTAGGTCCACCTGGTGAGCAGGGGCTTCCTGGTCCTTCAGGGAAAGAGGGCACCAAGGGGGACCCTGGACCCACAGGACGGCCTGGAAAAGATGGTCCTCCAGGACTGAGAGGCTTCCCAGGAGAGAGGGGACTTCCTGGAACCCCTGTGAGTATAAATGATCCAGCATATGTCATCAAGCCAGGATCCAGGTGTTTAAGAAACATTTCTTATCTCAGTCATTAGAATAAGAGTCTGATGATTATTCCTGCATGGTCATTTCTTCCAGGGTGGTGGAGGACTGAAGGGAGGCGAAGGACCTGCTGGACCTCCTGGACCTGCTGTAGGTTTCTGTTCATATTAAAAACAACTCATTTAAAGAAATGTTCATAGTTCAGAAATAATGGAGGCAAATCTGGATCTTTCAGTTAAGTGAGGAGAGAACAGCGCGTACTCTGAGTTTGGACATTAACCATCATTGTATTTGTTTAATTTTTCAAGTCTCTCACTATGAGATAGAAATCTTTTAAAAACTTTTAAAATCTGTTACTCATTCTTCCAACTTCAGAATTAATTATTCACTTAATGAAAACCTGCTGTGGTTGGTGCTGACCTCATGTATTTCTTAGGGGTCTCCTGGTGAGCGGGGACCAGCTGGTACTGCTGGACCCATCGGACCTCCTGGCAGACCAGGCCCTCAGGGCCCACCTGGACCAGCTGGAGAGAAGGGAGTCCCTGTGAGTCTTCTGGATGTTTTAATCAAATTTAGTCTGTCCAGCTAATAATGAATATCAATTATTGATTTCTCTGTTCTCTGTTTCTCCTGCTCAGGGTGAGAAAGGGCCCATTGGCCCAGCAGGTCGGGACGGAGTGCAGGGTCCTGTGGGTCTGCCCGGCCCTGCTGGAACAGCTGGAGTTCCTGGCGAGGACGGAGACAAGGCCAGTAACTCTAAGTAACAGAGATCACACCTTAGCTTAAGATTCTTGGAAAGCTGCAGGGTGAATGTTTCACCTCAGAAGGTGTCAAGAGTCAAAATAGCTCAGAGCGTAAAATAAAATGAATTTTATTTATTGTTTCAGGGTGAGGTTGGAGAGCCTGGGCAGAAGGGCGCCAAAGGAGCCAAAGGAGAGCATGTGAGTGACTTAAATCAGAGATTAATATTTACCTCTGATGGTAACGATCAGGATCTAATAATGCTGTTTCTTCCTTAATGATTGTTGTTTCTCTGTGTTCATGTGCTTGTTTCTGGTTATTTGCAGGGTCCTCCTGGTCCACCCGGGCCGCTCGGTCCTGTAGGTCAGCCTGGTCCAGCTGTGAGTAGAAACTCTTTTTTTATTGCAAGTGCATGCATTTGATGATGGCTGCAGTTTTTACTTTACAGATTTGATAAAGGTCTTGTTAAAATGAAAATGTAGTTATGTGATGAATATACAAGATTGTTCCTGATATGATGAGGAGTTTAGATCCATCCAGTCAGCACATTAACTGTTCTTATCTCCTGTTTTTGTCCTTGTTCTTCTTCTTCTTCTGTGGTGCAGGGTGCTGATGGAGATCTTGGACCGAGGGGGCAGCAGGGTCCTTTCGGAGCTAAAGGTGACGAGGGAACCCGAGGCTTCCCAGGAGCCCCAGGTCCCATCGGACTCCAGGTAAAAACATGAAAATGTCAAAAAGCAGCAACACTTCCTTTCTTTACGTTGGATTTGATGTAAATACTCGTGCAGTTCGAGCATCGCTCTTGTGCAAAGCTCCTAATCCAGAACTTTGACCTTTGCTCTGCAGGGACTGCCAGGACCATCTGGGGAGAAAGGAGAGATGGGAGATGTCGGACCTATGGTGAGTTTCACAAACACGTGAATATTGTAATAACTGGTAATGACGTATGCAACAAAATAAATGAAATGATGATAAAAACCAAATCCTCTTTATGTTTCCAGGGTCCTCCAGGCCCTCCAGGACCCCGTGGCCCTGCTGGACCCAGCGGAGCTGACGTGAGTGTTTGGAGCTTTTACTGAACCTCTGTGAAACCTTTTCCATCAAGTTAATGTTAGCAGATTAATTTCTCATGAAACTCATGTTCAGCGTTAATTAAAGTAGATTGTCTGATACTTTTTCCTCCAAGTAACTGTTGATGGAAATTATTTGATCAGTTTTTGTCTGTTTTCAGGGTCCTCAAGGTCCTCCTGGTGGTATTGGTAATCCTGGGGCTGTTGGAGAGAAGGTGCAGTACTGAAGGAATATTTTTACAGCTTTGTGTCCAAAAACAGAAAAACTGGATTAAAATATGTGATATTTGTTCCACAGGGAGAGCCCGGTGAGGCCGGACCACCTGGAATCGTAGGAGAGGCTGGAAAGAAGGTGAGCGGCGTGATCTTAATGCTTTTTTGAGCCGATGCATCAGGAGCTCATGCTGTCGCTGATATCTAAATATCATCCATGAGCAAACAACGAGGTCTGTACTTCTGTGGACAGGGTCCTCGTGGAGAGCGCGGAGAGAAGGGAGAGGCGGGCCAACCTGGAACTGCTGGACCTGCCGGAGGACGAGGAGGACCAGGAGACGACGGGCCCAAAGGAAACCCAGTATGAGAACCGGACACACCAGAACATACACAGACTGCCACACAGATCAGTGACCGCCGATCTCTTTACTGTGTTTAATCATTGATCTTTTTTTATTAATTTCAGGGTCCTGTTGGTTTCCCTGGTGATCCCGGCCCCCCTGGTGAGGTTGGACCCAGAGTAAGTGTCGTTTTTGAATGATTCACGTTTATTTATTTACAGAGATGTTAAATGTGGCTCCACAGCTGCCGACAGTTCAGTTCAGCCTCTTCACTGCACGTTTGAGCTTCGTGCTGAACCGAACAACCCAAAGAAAACCTCTGACATCATCGTCTTTGTTTTTAGGGCCAGGATGGTGCCAAGGGAGAGAGAGGAGAGGATGGAGAAGCAGGAGAACCTGTGAGTAAAAAAGATGCAGCGATGCAGAAAAGAAGGATTAGAAATGATCCAGCTCCTCACCCATATGGAAAATAAATACTAAAAACTTATAAAATACTCATGAAAGTGGCCACTTTCTCATTACTTTCATATATTGTTTTAGTAAATATCCAAAACAGACAAGTTTCATTTATATAATTTTTCAAGGGATCAATCTTTTCATTCTGCCTCCTATCGCAGGGCACCCCCGGACCTCCTGGTGAGAACGGACCTCCTGGACCCCCAGGAAAGAGGGTAAGATCACTCAGTCTGATGGCTGTGAAAGATCACTTAAGTAACAAGTTTTCCATGCAGCCAATATTTTTTTAATGCTTCCAGCTTTTGAAAAAGGGTGAAAACAATCACAGAGTTTTGCAGTTTGACATTTATTTACCTGAGCATATAAGGTTGTGTTTACTGACCAGTCATGTTTAGAGTATCATCACCCAAACACCCAACCTGAGCGCAGCATCCTGGACACCATCAAACATTTATTCTGTTTCTTTCCTGCAGTCGTATTTAAATGGCTTCTATTTAAAATACAATTCATTTATACGATTTAGTGAAAGCTTATTAACTTTGAAGGAATACAGTGTTTTATCACTTATGTTCACTGATGCACTGTTACCTCATTTACATGTCAGGGTCCTGCTGGTGCAAGAGGAGCAGAGGGACGTCAGGGAGAGAAGGGAACCAAGGTGAGTCCTTCAGTTACTAAATGATCTGCACAGATCACAGTGAGTATAAGCTCTCAGATGATAAGACGAAACTATGTTTACATCAGATTACTGACCCTTTATTTGTAATAATGATTCTACAATAAATGATTAACTCTGTTTTTCTCAGATTCTCAGATCTTATTTTTGTGATGCATAACTTTTACTGATGCAAAGAAGGAATCTTTGAATCCTGTTTCTTTGGCGTCACCCTTCACAGGGAGATCCAGGTGCAGTCGGTCCCCCAGGAAAGACGGGTCCTGTCGGCCCTCAGGGTCAACCAGGAAAACCAGGAACCGAAGGTCTTCGAGGACTCCCAGGATCAGTGGTCAGTTCAGTTTATCAGTCATTTTTGGGTTTATTCAAACAGCAACTAAACAAATTCACTGTGTGTGTGACACTTGTTGTTTGATGTGTTGCTGTTCACTCACTAAGTGTGTTAATAATTGTGTTTCAGGGTGGACAAGGATTACCAGGAGCTGCTGGAGAGAAAGGACCGCCTGGACCTTTGGTAAGAACAAACACAAAGTTTGCACTTGGTGCTCCGTGACGCTGCACTTTGCTCCTGCTGCCTTCTTTAATCCTCCATCTTTCCTCTTCTCGTCTGTCCTCCTGCTTTCGTCCTCTTTTCTTTCTCTGCTTCTCCTCCTGCAGGGACCGCCTGGTTTGCCCGGCCTGCGTGGAGACCCCGGAGCCAAGGGAGAGAAGGGTCACCAAGGTCTTATCGGTCTCATCGGACCTCCGGGAGAGCAGGGAGAGAAGGGAGACCGAGGCCTTCCTGGGCCTCAGGGATCCTCTGGACCCAAAGGAGAGTCCGTAAGTCTGACCTCTGTCACATGATGAAGAGCAGGCAGTGAAACCTTTATTTTATTTGACTCTTTTTTTATGGAAATGATTCTCATGTCTTGTAACACAGGGACTTTCTGGAGGCACCGGACCCCTCGGCCCTGCTGGTCCTCCTGGTCTTCCTGTGAGTATTTGTGCTGTTTTATTCCAGGAACATGACGTCATTCTTCCTCCTCCTGCTCCTGAAACCTGTCATTGAAGCCGTTTTATTAAAGTCTGACATCTTTTCCAGGGTCCTCAAGGTATCAAAGGAGCTAAGGGTGCATCTGTGAGTAACCACGCTAACATGAGTGCAGTGTCAGTAAAATTCAAAGATGAATGGATGTGATGATGTAATGCTTCTTTCCTTTTCCTGCTGGATTTAGGGAGGAGCTGGACCAAAGGGAGAAAAAGGAGTACAAGGACCTCCTGGACCTCCTGTCAGTACTCCACCTTTCTTCATTTAAATCTTCTCCGTGTGCTCTCTGAACTGCAGTTAATGATGTAAACTTGTTTCCCAGGGCCCACCTGGTGAGGTCATTCAGCCGCTGCCCATCCAGAGGAGTCCCAAGTCCAAACGCTCCATCGATGCCAGCCAGCTGGCGCCGGAGTTTGACCCTGACATGCCGGCATCTGACACCGCTGGCACCGAGTTCCTGATGGGCAGCGAAGGCATGGAGGAGATCTTTGGCTCTCTCAACTCCCTCCGTCAAGAGATCGAGACGATGCGTTTCCCTCTGGGCACTCAGGACAGCCCCGCGCGCACCTGCCAGGACCTGAACCTCAGCCAGCCGGACCTCAAAGACGGTAACGGAAACAAACCACAAAACCCAAAACAAACCTGGCAGCTGATCCTGGCACTTATATCAGTACCAGGACGATGATGAATGAACATCTGTAAGAGTCAAAGTCAGACTTTTACATTTTCCCACCTCTTTTCTCTGTCGCCCCCTGCAGGAGAGTACTGGATCGACCCCAATCAGGGCTGCTCCAGAGACTCCTTCAAGGTCTTCTGTAATTTTACTGCTGGAGAGACGTGTTTGTACCCGAGCAAGGACGTCAACACGGTCAGTCCAGCAATCTGGAAAAAACAGCAACTGTGTCAAAAAACAGGTTTATTAACTAAACTCATAATAATTTGGTTAAATTTCCAACATGTTTGGGTTCCTGAAGTGTTTGTGGTGGTTTCTATTTTCTATTTTCTCATTTATATGTAAAAAACTAAAAAATGATTTAACATTTATAATAAAACTAAGATGTCAGAGCAGTAACGTTGAGGAAATTTGCCGCCCAGGTTAAAAAAAAAAGGTGTTTTTATCTGTCTGTGTGAAAACAGGTTGAATGAAACTTTAACTATAATGTGTGACGTGGATCATTGTGGTCACAGGTGGAGATGAGCTCCTGGGACAAAGAGACTCCAGGATCGTGGTACAGTCAGTTTTCCACTGGTAGTAAGGTTAGTAATTAAAAGTTTAATAGTTTAGTTCTTGACCTGTTTAACCTTCTTTCCCTCGTTTGTTTGCATCCTTACACTCATCTTACACTTTTCCTCCTTGCTGCTTGTTGTCTTCTCATTAAATCCTTTCCTCTCCTTTCTCATCCTCCTCCCAGTTCTCCTACGTCGACTCCAACGGTGATCCCGTGGGCGTGGTCCAGCTGGGCTTCCTGCGCCTCTTGAGCGTCCAGGCCCGTCAGAACCTCACCTACCACTGCCACCGCTCCGTGGCCTGGGCCGACCAAAGCGCCGAGAACAACTACCAAAGGGCGCTGCACTTCCTGGGTGCCAACGACGAGGAGCTGAGCTATGAGACCAACCCGTACATCAAAGCCTTGATCGATGGCTGCTCTGTGAGTTCACACACACAAAACTACATCCAGACCTGTTAAAGGCTCCGTGTCACTGAAGGTTATGAGGAGCTGTCACATCTTTCCTCTGGACCATCGTAACCATGTATGATGGACCAGAGTTGGTCTGACACTCATCCAGTCCTCTTTTTCTGTGATGTTGCAGTCACATTAGAAAAAACAGTGTTTTTAAATTATTGCGATCTCATTACCTTGGAAATAGTTGCTTTGCAGACAGAGAGCAGGTCTACGACAACTCACAGTCAGTTGAAAACTTCTGTGCAACTTTGGTGCTGCTATAGTTTTTTTTAGGACTTTTTTAGCTCCACTACTTTGATCTTGTCCAGTTTCCTCAGATTTTTTAAGGACACACTGCACAGCATGCTGACACATGTTTCCAACTAGTCGCTCTTTGGGAATCACAAAATACGATTTTCTGTCTGTCAAAGTGTCATTTTTTTACATTTTTCATAGATTCAGCCAAAGAAATGGAACAAACTGTCTACAGTTGTCTGTTTTCTGTAGACAGAACACTGATTCATGCTGAGTCAGGTGCCTTTTTTATTCTTGATTGAATGTTTAACACTGGTTTAGCTGGTTTAACACTGATCTATGAACTCTGACCTGTTCCCTCTGAAAATGCTCAGGTACAAGGATGAACTGAAAGTAATGAAAAACTAGACGATGTGCAAAGAAAAACTTTGACCACTTAAAAAATTAAACCAGAAATGCAACCAGATAAGTCGAGTCTGCTGTTTGCAAAGAAACACAAAACAGACGAGCTGTGCTCATCGATGCAGACTGACTCAGGTTAATTGCAGCATCTGGGCAAATTGTGTTTGTAGATGAACAAAAATTATTGGCAAACCTTCACCAATCTGTCTGAGAGTGACTGCAGTCGGTCCAAGTTGGACTGTGATTGGTTGGAGACAGTTCGCCTTACACCAGGCGGTCGCCTTGAGATCAAAAACATTCACTCATAAGTTGAGAGCAGCTGCTTTTTTACTTATTGTCACAAAGAGGTTGGAGTTTTATGTCGTGTGACTGAGCTGTTGGAGAAAGCACGAGAGTTTAACCGCGCACTGTGTCACGTTCCTCATCAATAACAGACAGTTTTTCATTTTATGGGATCTTTGGGGTTGATTTAAATTTGAGAACGATCACTAATTACACTATGATGACAAACGGTTTCACATGTAGCTGCAAAACACAAGAGGAACATTTAGAGGATTTTATGAAGTGTTTAGCTGTTTGTTTTTGAGCAGGTGAAACAGGAGAGTTTGTTTTATATAAGGAGAAGAACCACGTCTGCTCTAATGTGCCAACTTACACAGACTTTATAAACCTTTTTCATTTTGTGGTTTCCTGACGTGTGTGTCTCTGTGTCTCTCCTCAGTATCGTAAGGGCTTCGACAGGACGGTCCTGGAGATCAGCACGCCACAGCTGGAGCATCTTCCTCTGCGGGATATCAAGGTGTCAGACTTTGGGGAGAAAAACCAGCAGTTTGGTTTTGAAGTGGGACCTGTTTGTTTCCAAGCCTAAGAACACAAACACACACAATACATGCAAACACACACACACTTAGAGACACACTTATATATGAAAAAAAACATTCATGCCCAGTAATTTGTAAATTAATTTGTAAATGATATAAAACACACACACACACACTTACTTACATATACATGCAGTTGTTGTGAGACAAACACGCGCTCACAGTAAAGTGCGTGCCGGGGAAACCAACATCCTCCCAACAATTAATGGACGTCACAAAAACAAAAAAAAGAGGAGAGAAATCTGAAAAACTCGCGGAGAGGAGACCTTCGACTCGCCGCGTGAGACGAAGATAAAGTCAGGAGGGAGCGTCCTTCAACATAAAACAGTGTTTTCTTTAACGTCACCGACCTGAGAGCGAGCCGGCAACCTGAGGTCTGATGCCCCTCTACCTCCCCATCCAACATCTCCTCCCAGAAACGGGTCACACTCATTCCCACTTCCTTAATCTACATTCACTCTGCAGGCAGCATGACTGACGGTCGCTCAGGCTGTGAGAGGCTCCCGTGCAGCCGCCTTTATCTGTGATGCAGTTAAAATCACATGAAATCAAAACAGGAGACAAACCATAAAAGAACAGCCAGAGGTCAGAAACGTTCCCCTGAGCTGTAGATGAAGCTCTTTGTGAGGTCATCAGGGGCGACTCTTCAGTCATGCTGTTTACAGAGTAACATTCAGATCTTTTTACACTTTAAGGAACCAAAGAATTAACGACACCGGCAGAAACACAGGGAACTGAGCACCGAGGTTAACGTGTGGCGAGGTGCAGGACAATCCCTCCTCCACCCGAGAGGAGCGAGACTGCGCTGAGCCGATGTGATGCATGCACGAGGCAGGAGAGACGTGTGATCAGTGAAATCAAAGCCATTCATTTTGTAAACTGTGCTAAATGCAGTGCTGTTGTATTTGCATGCTGCTGGTGCCTTTTTTTAAAGACCCGATTCTTTAAATCACTCCTCACCGAGGCCGCTAACACCACGCCGCTCCGGTGTTTGCTGAGTCTGGACTCTTTGTTGTTTTCCATCAGTGTTTAAACATGTCTGAGCTTCAGAGATTCCTCCTGTTTTTCCTGCAGCAGCAAATAAAAATGCACGCTTTTACTGACCTGTGTGGTAAGGTGCTAATTACACAAACGTGTCAAAGGTGTAGTGTCCACTCCGACTCCTTCCTGTAGTCTCTTCTAATTCATGAAGCTTGTACCTGGGGAAGATGTGCATTACATACCATTTGTACAGAAATAGTGATATTCTATTGTATTTATTTAAAACTAACAGGGTGCTTTGAGATTAAAAAAACAAGAACCAACCAATATTTCAGTCACATGTGGTTTGTATTTATTTCCTGCAGCTGACACTTGAAGGTCAAACTCACCGCCCTGTTCAAACTCCTTTTGTACGGAATAAAAATAAGAATCTGTGGCCACACGTTACTGTAAGATCCCGTCTTAGTGTTTGCATCGACTGTACTGTGCTGTTACATCCTGCTTCCACTGTAATGATTAAACGGTGACTCTCCACCTCTGTCACGTCCCTGTCCTTGCTGCTGTTTCACTTGTTGGCTTTTGCAGGTTTGCAATCGCGGAACAACTTTTTACTTAAAGTCTGCATCGATCTGAGCTGTGATGGTAAAGATACTGAACCACCACGGGGGAGAGAGAGGCTGTGAGAGAGGCAGGGGGGCGAAGGTCGTCCGCCTCCGTGGGATGGAAAGTGAAAAATGATTGGGCGATTTAATTCTGG